TATATATATATATATATATATATATATATATATATATATATATATATTCCACCCACATTACTTGTCGTTATCTTTCTGAGCTCGGTTCTGTGCTTTACATTCCTTCTGTGGTAAATCCTCCAATCCTCGTCTGAAGAAGATTAAGCTTGTCGAGCAAAGCACGAGGCAAAATGTAGCGAATGCTAAAGAGGGAGTAAATCTGGCAGCGCTGCTTCACCTCCATCCCCAAAGTGAATTATCTGGCTTGTCAGGACTGAACAATGGGGGAAATGCAACATCCCGTATACCTGCTATATTGTGGTAGAAGACCGCGTTGGGTACATTATTTCCATGGTTGCATTATCAGAGGCATTATTTCCTGTGACATTTAAGGTCAGCTGTGATATGTATGACTGCTATCTACAGCAATTAAAGTTAACGTGCACGGATCACATTCCACACCTGATCACAGTGAAGTGGGGAAAGGTAATTGCATTATCGGTCTCCCTTATCATTTTCATACATCAGTCGAGTGAAATGGGTGTTGATTAACATATCTCCAACATTTATTAAATGATGTATATCTGCATAAACTCTCATTTTCACCCCAGTCTGTTATCATGTGTGGCCTAAAGGCAGCATCGTTCCTCAGCTGAACAATAATGGACATACATTACAGTACATTAGCTGTCTTAGCAGTACAATCATGACTTAAGTGCATTTTTGGAGAATTGTTTCATGTAAGTAAAGCAACCTAAACCTTAAAAACAAACTATCTTGTCAAAAGCTGTCAAAGCCTAGATGTTTTCATGGTTAGTAATGCCTGAGCTCAAGTGATTGGGGAGTTTCACACCAAAAGTTCTTTGATCATTTGATCACCAGTCATAGTCTTCATGTCAAATCACACGCACCTCTATATAGGTTTCAGTCCTGACAAAACACACATATAGGCCTACTCATTTTAAACATATCTGTCCACACATTAGTGTGATGATGCTGTTTCATTTACTATCATTGATGAAGACACTTGTTTTAGTGAATTTATCGTGACATTGCTCTTTGAGTGAAATTCCAGTATTACGGTCCAAACACAAAGTGTGCAGTCATGCTCTGATCATGATGTCTTGTGATCGTCGCACTACTTTATTAAAAAAAAAAAAAAAAAGGTTGCTGATCATTTCCATGATTTCCAGTGTGTTGTTTACTAATGCTTCTTTAAGTGAAGTAGTGTTCTTAGGCTTGCCGGTTAACCACAGGACTTGTTTCACATCTACATTTGTTGTTCTGCCCTGAGTTTCAACCCAACTCCCACTCGCCGTGGTCTCCGGGGCCGTTCCAAACCATCGCCTGAACGGATGAATAATTCATGTCTCTGGCTCTGTGTTGAGTCTGTGTCTAACCGTCGCTCTGTCTCAGCTTTTTCCACCCAGTGGCGCGTTACGCTCTCTCTCTCTCTCAGTCCACCGGGGGAGCGAAAGGCCAGAGCAGGCTGTTTGGATTACAGTTTTGACCGACACCAGCTTGCTCTCTGTCTCCCTGTAATGAAACAGAGAGTGACACATTTTCATATCCTGCGCTGTGGCTCCGCTCGAACAAAGGTCACCGCTTGCGACGGTGTGGATCTGACACTGACAAAAAACCGCAGACATTGATGGTCGCCTGTTGACATTTTGTCAAAAGCAGTTATTAGTGGTGTTGTGCGAAGCGGCTCTGCTCTCTCTCTCACTGTAGTTTGTGAGGAAATGCGGAACGTTAGGGGCCCCTCATGATGCTCATCACCCAAATGTCAAATTAGATCAGTAGGGATCTCAAACTGGGGAAAGAAAAACAAGCATTGCATAACCAACGCCCCGTGTCCTCTCTCACGAGGACGGGATCACATCGCTTTCACTGCCTCTGCCAAGTTGTAGTCTACCCAATTACCCGAAGAGAGCTGGCGGTACAGACTTCTCAAGTCGGTGTGGGTGACTCAGCCATCAGACTCCCATGACTAGGCCTCCCGTGATTGTTCTGTTGGATGAAGGCAGCGTAAAAAAGACACAGGTCACAGCCACCATGTCCAAGCAATTACAGTATTCAAACACGTACTCGTCTCGTGTAAAGCCGCCCCGTGACAGAAGACAAAGATAAAACACAGAGACGTTCAGAGAATACAAGCGAAGCAAGTGTAAGCAAAATGTGTTTCCTTCTGAAGTGTCAGCATTCTTCAGCATGCTTTTCTGAACCAGAATCTGACCTGTGACCTTCCTGGACCGGGCAAGAAATATTAAGTAGTTAAATATGATCAAAACCGGAAGTTTTTTTTTTTTTTTTTTTTTTATAATTCTGATCTGAATCTATGCTGTTTGTGTTAATTCCCCTTAGGCCAGGCAGCCTGCAGGTCTGCATCACCTAAATTATATGTGGTTATATTATATTAATTCTCCTGTCAACAAATCATAAAACATAACAAAGCTTAACAGCTGAGCAGCTCAACCTACAAGTGGCAATAAGTGAACTAAGTAGCCCGTTTGTCTCAACCACCCAGACAGCCTGTGTTTGCCTAACTGACAGATGAACAAATAAAGAAGTTCATCGCTGCAGAGAGGGAAAAAGGTCAACGCTTCCTTTTTTGTGTTCTCTGGGATTTGTGAAAACGTTGATTTCCCCTCCAAGCTGTATTAATCAGTATTGGCAGCCTCTCCATTATCAAATCACCCCGGCTGGTTTGTGCCGAGTGCATTGTAATATTGGATTAGAGCCTTGGGAGGAAAAACAACCCTGTTGCCGGGAAATTAGTGTTATCGTGAAGCGCTTAGTTTCCCTTTCCCATACGAGGTTGACGTCCACAGCAGATACACCGATAACGCGGGGACGAATCTAGTCATTGTAGATGCTCATTTCGGGAGATTAACGTTAATAGACTGAGTGCACAACTCCGGGGCTTATTTATCTAACTAATGACAGTTTTTGGCAACCTTGAAGCTTTGATTTCTTGTCAGTCGCTCTCCCAGTTTATCTCTGCTCTTATCTGTTTGCTGCAGTTATTTCTTTCACCTTTTATGGTCTTGTCGGCTTTTCATGTTTTACCCCTCTCCCCTCCTGTCTCTCTCTCTCTCACGATGCTATCTACCCACCCATCCCCTCACTGCTCGGGCGGGTTGTTGCCTCAGCTGTTGAAGTGTCCCCCTCTCTGCCCCTCCTTGACCCTGGTGAGTGTGGTCAACTCTCCACCACCATCATCATCATCATCATCATCACCCGCAACTTCAATTGTTTAGGACTCCTGACATGAATGTGCTCATCTTTTAGCCCATGTGATATTCAATAGTTTCTAGTTAAATCTCTTTTAATGCCATTCACAGTGACGGCGAGTAATGCAAAACCTGCGTTTGGCAGTTGTGACGCAGGAAGGAAGTTGACTCACCATGTAACCACACACGGGTGGGCTCGGTCCTCAGCCTTGAGAGTTTACAGCAAAAGCCGACGTGTGACAAAACTGCAAACACCTGAATAACCGATTATGAAATGTTCCTTTTTTTAGTCATGGAGAGTGGGTGAATCAGTTTCACAGACATGCACAGTCGGATATGCTTGTGTCTTTTAGGGCGTGTAAAGAGGACAGAAATGTTTACTCTTTATAGGGCGGTTTTATGTGTCATTTGCTTTTTTCTTTATTTTCTGTTTTAGATTCCAGAGCAGCCTCTGGAGAAATCTGTGTCCGTGCAGCTAAATGATTTTCCGTGGTGTCACTGTGACGCATCGGTGCAAGTACACTCAAATTGAAAGAACTAAATACATACGGTGTAATCTTTGTTGATGACTGGTGCTGGTGATAGGCCGGCTGTAAGGTTGAGTGCCAGTGTTAGTTGATGCGTATTTGTTAAGTAAGAGGAATTAAAGGTGCTCTGTGGCATTTCTTGGAAACAAACAAAAGTTATGTTTTTGTTCAGTGTTTTCGCACCAAAACACATGCGATCCTATCCTCTTAAAACACGTGTGTGTGAATCCAATGTTTGAATATTTTAAACCCCGGGTCACATCCTCGTGAGCTTTCTAGCAGGTCTGCTTCTTCACGACCTTTGCTACCCCTCTTTCGTACCCTTGTAAAAATGTCGATCAGTAGACTCGCATCGTGTGCACCATAGTGTGCACCATATTGCCTGCATCCTCTCCTCTGTTCAGACATGATGCAAACGAAATCAGGACCCACTTGTAAACTTGTCAAAATGTTGCTCGTTAGTGGATTCTTAAGGGAGGGATAAAACAATTTGGTTTGACTGCCACAAGGTGAAATACTGGCACATGGGATATAAAACTATTGTTACATCGTGGATTTGGGGATGTAGTGGAAAAAGTGGGGTGACAGTCATTGGCTATGCAAGGTTAGCTTTTTAAATTGTTATCGTGTTGTTATCTCTGAGAATGTGAAGGCACTCTGCGGTTTATTTTCAACAATAATGGTTCAAATCAATACAAATCTTCATTAATCTAAACTTTAAAAAGAGGAATATTTTGATATCTGACTACATATTGGTATCTGACTTGATCTGAATTTGACATCTATTCTTGCATTGAATGTGCACACTATTGACTAAGCTCGCCTGCTTGCCAGATTCACAGTGAACCCACAGACTTCCCCCTCTGTATGCATTCCTGTATAATAAGAATGACAATAATAAAACCGTCCAGCCACCGTAGGTCAGACGGTGCGTAGTGTGATTGGTACTGTGTGGTGTCTTTGGCTTTGTGACCCGGTGATCAGGCGGGGATCAGTGTGGCCTGAATGAGTCCAGTCAGTGAGCAGTACGCTGCCGGGAAGACATTAACACACTACCCTGGAACCTCTAATGGCTTCTCTCCCTTTTTATGAGAAAGTCCCGACTGCGTTGCCAGCTCTGGTGGCGAGAGAATGTTTTGATTGGCTTATGGTCAGAGAGTCAGACCTAAGCACTGTGACAAGGCAGATCTTAATAAGATCTTTGTTTGCCCAGAATCAGGGATTCTCCAGTGTTATTATTTCGTTGCTGATATGTGCTGTCCACCAGACTGTTGTTCAAAAATAATGAGCTTTTACTCCGAACATGAATGGGTGCGTTTTGTTCAGAGATAAAAATGCAATATCTAAAATATTACTGGTGGTTCTGGGAACTGACTTATCTTTGTGTCATTTTGAAGAAGATCTGAGTGTAAGAACAAAGGAGTGCTTTTTTTGGTTGCAGTGCTTTTGTGTTCGGTTGTTTAGAGAGGAGAACTAAAATACACTGACGCTCAGCACCGCGTCTGACCCGATAAATCAATATTGCAGCAATATTTCCACATAAGGACATTAGTGTGGCCGTTTCGTCACAGTGTAACTGGCTGTACCGTCATTTATAACGATTACAAAACATCAAATCATTGGGAGTAATGTCACAGTGGGTTAGCAAGGGGAAAGGTTAGCGTTCCTGTGCAGTGCATTGGTCATTTCAATACCCCCTCATGTGAGCGCAGGTAATGAAGCGGGTTTGATTCATGTTCTCACTCGTTTGTCTCATCTGTCTCCTGTCAGGTCAGCCTTCAGGGTCTGGAGAATTTCCTCTGTCTCTTCCACTATGTGCAGCATCGCCCCAACAACAGCAAAGATGCACTGAAATTCTGGTAGGTCTCATCGTTGTTTTAACCTCTTCCACTGTATCGTGATGGAGGTTTTGTCTCAGAGAGTACATGGTGTTAAATCAACACCTCAAAGAAAAAAAAAGTTTGGAAAAAGTGGGTATAGCTTCAAACACACCTGCAGTTACGTCTTCACCAAAGACAAGTAACTGCAGAAGTGATTTTATTTTCATCCTTTTTTTTTATGCCCCACCACTAGAGTAGAGGTTGCAGACATTATGTAGTCATGGGGCATTAGCATTTCAGAGTACCTTGCTGCATAGATTTCCATATTGATGAGGAAAATTGTAGATGTTAGGCACATCAAGGGCCTCTTGTTTGTATTCTGTTCAGTGTAAATAAGTGACACACACACAAGAATTAAGTGAGCGCATTAGCATTTGTGAGTTATGTGATTCGTTTGAATGGGGTTTCTGTTAAAATAATGTCCGAGCTTAAGGCAGTTTAATGTTTCGCTCTGTGAGATCAGCCATTAAAAAAAGTTCCATACTTTAAATCATTGGAGCTTTTGTCTGCAATAATTGAGCACTTAGCTAACAGATGTTGTTAGAAATGGATCACAAACTCCTCAAGTCATGAATATACCGCAGCTGTAAACTCTCTGTTAAGTCTGACTACCCACATTGTTTTTAGGTTGTAGATTTAGCTAATTTCTGATGTTATACTTGTAGTTTGTATAAAACGGTCAGTTTGTAAGTCAGTTAACTTTACCGGGTAAGTCTTTCAGCAGTGTGTTGGAGGGACGTGACCACAGGTTAGCCTCACACCTTCCTTTTATTGATATTAATTACAGTGTTGCGTAAAACCTTTTAAAAGCTGTGTTGATTTGTGGAGATTATCTGAGCAGGAAATATATGAAAGCTGTTTCTTTGGCTTCTCCTGAGTGGCAGATTTAAATTCATCAGACAAAAAAAAAATAAATAAAAAATACACAAAATATCCATCTTGTGCGTGCACATGCTTAATTCCTCATTGTTTGCAGTAGAACCTGATATATTGATGCAGTTAATCATGTGGATGAACCATGTTTGCTTCCATGAAATCATGATAGCTCTTGACACTCTGTTAACCGTGCACTGTGCACACAGGAATCATGGTTGAAAACACTGTATGATGTCCTCTCATATGAGCTGGAGCCACGCTAACCCAGACAATAGTATTTATTGCTTCATGTGTCCTTTAATTTCTCCAGAAAACCTTTTGTTATGACCAATTAAAACGGGTATTTCATTAGTTTTGCCCACATCGAAGGAGCCAGTTCTGAGTGGAGCCTCCACCATGAAAGTAACTGAGTTGGAGTAACAAGCTTCTTAGTCTTTTGCAGCATGAAGATATCATGGAACCCATTATCGCTGTTTTCTAGTCCTGTAATCAGTGTCATGGAGGAGTGATGAAACTACTGAGAGGATGGATTTGAGATAATGCTTTGAATATGCTGTGTTTTAAAAATCTGACAGGTATTTCTTTCGTTGCGCTATCCTTATTTCTTGGCGATGCAGCCTGAAATGTCAATATATGACGGCTGTTTGTTTTTGAAGGCGCTGTGTAATTTAATAATATATTCATGTAATACATTTCTCCTCTCCCTAGCCTTTTAAATTGAGGCGTATACCGCATGTGTGTGTTGGATAAAGCAATACAAACACTGGCGTCATTCTAAATTCTGACACTCGTATCTTTACAATGTCCCCACATAGTGTAGCAAATATATGCAACACGTGGAATCATGAATCAGCATCTTTCTCAGTTCTCGTGCCACGGATACAACGTATCTGTGGGTCGGTCTCATGGTGAATTATCCACAGAGGGAAAGTTGTAAAGCTGGAGTCAGTGTTGTAGTTTCTGAGCTGTAGGTGCCTCTGGCTTACTCGTAGGAATGTAAAAGGGGATTTCTGAATGTGCACCTCCACATGTAGTTTACTCTAAGATGCTGCTTTGGCCACAACCTTCTCCTTCCCATAGACGCTGTATATGACAAGTGGACGTAGTCCCAGTGACGTCACCCATTGGTTTGTGGACAAGCCGAGGTTGTCACTTGCTCTTTTCTCCAAGTTTGCAGTGCATATCTTCTCTTTTCACAGTCAAGTGGTAACCTCTCTGTAGGACTAAAAAATCATTTCCTATGTATCTGTGGTGTATAAACTGTATAGTGACTCCTAAATAAGAGTAGAATTCAGGCCTTGCTGAAGTGGAAATGTCCTCAAATATTATCTCAAGAGTGGACATTTGTTTAGCCAATTATTTTTGGAAACCTTGCGGTCTTGATTGGAACTACAAATACAACTGGAATACATAAAACAATAAAGTGACCGTCAGATGTCATAAAAACATGGTTTGTACATCGGTTGGTTTCATCTTTTAATATAGAGTACTCGATGCTTCATCACGCCTAACTTGTCTCTTTTTGGTGCTTTTGCTAGTTGATCCTAGTTGGCCTGTTTGTGCCTAAAAAAAAAAAAATAAATAAAAATTCCCGGAACAGTTGTAGTGCAGTAAACAAAGGCTGTTACTGTGGATCATGGTTGATTACTGAGGTCTTACACAGGGCAACGGGGGCTCGTCAGTCTTCCCAAGCGCAGTCCCCTCACCATGTGACATCACATGCTTTCATGTGATACGCTGATCTGCTGCGAATCTGGAAAGCTTCCATTTGAAATTCCAATTTAATGGAATTTGTGCTGCAGAACAGAATATACAGTCAGCAGTCGTGTGAGGAGGTATGCAGAGCTGCAGTCATGCTCGGAGCAAACACAAGATGACTGGAAGGAAACCGTAAGAAATGAGGTTTTCTTGACTTAAACACTTGTTTTAGATTTCATTAACCCAGCACTCCTCTACGCATTATATCATGTCGGTATTATTTTGTAAGTAGGTTTGTCTCAGAGCAGCACCGTAACAGCAGAACTGTGAACAAGTAAAAGTTATTTGGTTACTGTCTGATGGAATCAGTTAAGGCTCAGTCCTGATGTTTTTTTATTCATGTTGAGCTGTGTCATTGGGGCTGTCCTGTAAAGGGGGAGTGTATCTTCAACAGTGAATGGAGAGCAATGTGAGGTGTGTGTCTTGTGTTGAGTCCGACAGCTTATTGTCAGGTACGTTTAGAGGAACTCGTGATTGTGGCAGACATCGGCGTACTTGGAACAACTGGATGATCTAGACATCGCCCTGCTTAGGCGTTCTGAAGGATTGACTTTGGCTTTTTTCTTGAATCTCACTCTACTTGTCTCTTAGTTGGTATCCAGGCGTACCCATTATATTGACCCCAGCAGAACGACTAGTATTAATAAACTGCAGCTTTATCACATTAGTACAATTAAAGATACAATCCCAAAGAAACTTTTGTATAAACTTCACAAAACTGTCGTTTTTGTAAACCGTTTGTTTCATAGCATTTCATCTCGACACACGATGGCAAAAGGTATCGTTTTTAAAAACCTGCGAGAGTTAAAACTTAACAGACAAGATGAGTGATGTGTATCTGCTACTTTCAAATTCTTAATAAGCATTCAAGTATCGCAGGATAAGTGTGATTATTGTGTTTTTATTGAGAATGTGAACTCTGGTTTTCCTTGAGATCCCTTCCATAACTATATTTAGATACATCTGTTTTGGTAAATTTAGAAGAAGTAAAGTATGGGACTTGGTATTTTTAAGGAGGCGAAGATTATTTCACAACTTTTCATTTTTATTCACAGTATTAAATAAAAAATCATGCAGCTACCCAAAAAAATTACATTTATTGGTTTCTCTCATGAAGGACGACCTCATGTTCCCACATTGTAGCTTCAAGTTAAGATGTCTTCTGTTGCAGCTCAGACATGAGTGGGGCCAGTAACACACTGGCGAGAGAGTTCCTGACCGACGTGCATCAGCTATGCAGTGCGGTGGCCCAGAGAGCGGAGGCACGGGAGGAAGATGAGGAGGAGAGTCACATGGTGGCGCTGGGAGAGTACCTGGTCAGGGGGCGGGGCTTCTTGTTGCTCAGCACCCTGGACTCCATCATTGACCAGGTGAGGATGCTCAAGGCCACAAATGAGTCATCATGAAAAATGTCCATACTGACCAGTCAAGATCAGCATTCTTCATTCCCTAGAGCCCACGTCATACAGTATGAAAATATATGTATGTATGTATGTATGTGTATGTATGTGTATATGTATATATGTGTATATGTATGTATGTGTATATGTATATATGTGTATATGTATATATATGTGTATGTATATATGTATATGTGTATGTATATATGTATATGTGTATGTATATATGTATATATATATTACTACTGTAGTTCAATTCAGTAATATTCACACTAAGCTTTAGGCCACAGCTTTTAGTTTCACATCATGCCTCATATTTCTTAAATCAATCTATTAAACTTTTCACGCAGTTGTTTAATATCAGCAGGACAAATTCAAATTTCCACACATAAGCCAATGCTGCGACTTATCTCCGTTCATCAAAAAGGAAATTCCAAATGGAGTTAGTGAACGAGATCCAGTGTAATGCTAACACGAGTTAACAGAAACAAAGATTATGCTAACATAACATCAGACAGACGTCAGATGGTAAGATTAACGAGGCATCTGATGGTCACAGTGCAATAAAACCCATCAGTGAAACATGTAGAACATACTGTGAATTTATAGTTTCACAGGAATTAACTTCACTTCATGTTTTGTTTTTAATACCCTGCTGACATTTAATTTTTCACATTAGGAGATGCTTATATTTTCATGCCTGTACCTAAACTCAGACATCACTTTGATTCAAAACACTCTACCAATTTATTTTACCACCACATGGAACATGTTGTCTCTGTATTTGTTTAGTGGCCTTTTGGGCTTCCTCTCTACATCTGTGGCGGGTGCTACTAAAGTTTGCAGATGATCATATCTATAAATCTATAAAGGGAAATGAGCTCTGCAGTGCCCATAAGTTGTTTGATTTTCTGATTGATTGCAGAAAGTCGGTCTCTACGTTCTGCTGCTGTCGCACGCAGGACGTTGACGCTGATATGCAAATCCATTTAGAACAGTTGACAGCAGTGTCGCGTAACATTTTTACAACCGATCTTTATATCGCATGACACACTCGGGCCATACCAGACAATTGCAGATAAAGATCAGGCTACACTAATGTTTTGGTATTGTTCTAAGATTAGAATCCAGTGGTGGCTGCGTAGGATTGTTTCTGGCTTCTGTGTTCCAAAAATACACGATAACTTCACTGCGGTCAGAAAACAGTTTGCTCTATGACTTGCTGCACGCACAGTCGAGGTGAAGTCATTTCAGAAAGTTTAGAAGAAACGCCAACTATTTCCATCTGAACCACTTTATTCAAATGGAGGATATAGTTCAAGGATCTTTTTAAGGTGACGCCATCATAAAATCTGTTGAGAAACATTCAAAGCTTAATTCGAAAAAAACCTCAAAATTACAAATTTTATATATATATATATATATATATATATATATATATATAAATAAAATAATATAATGTTTTTATAATATAATACACACAATATATCAGTATTACTCTCTTTTGAAATGGGTTTCACAGATATTGTTTGGACCTGGTTAGGTGGAAATACTGAACCATGAAGGGCAAAGGTGGCCAATCTGTTTGTTGCCGCCTATCTACAACAGTGAGTTGTGAGCACTTTATTTAGGTGCTCGTGTTAAGTGATAGGAAGGGCTTCACAGAAGCAGGTATTGTTTGCCCTGTTAAATGGCACCAGACTGTGACAGAGCCCAGTGTTTCCTCTGCCTTGTGCTGGTTCAGCGGAGCCCAGGCGACACTGGAATCACTGTGTTTGTGTATTGATCTTATTGGTGAGTGTTTTTGGGGTCAAGTAACCGTTTAGTAGATGCTCCTCTCCAGGGTGAGTCATGTAGCTTTCAAAAGGTTCTCTCGGCTGCAGAGTGAAAGACCGGATCACCAAGTTAAGTTATTTTGCCGCCAAACGGTCTTTTCAATAAGAAGTCTATAATCCTCTGACTTAAAGTAACGACTGCATTATTGAAAGAGATATTATAATGTGCTGAATGTGACCCTGTGTGTCGGCATCCCTCGTATCGTTCACATCCTTCAGCTAATTTCACACACATTCATGATGTTTTCTCCTTTTAATGGGAGCCTTCGGTACTGAATTGTAATGCATTCATTCGTTAGTTTTTTTACGACAAGCTCCAGCTGTGTGTGTGTCGACTGTGTGCGTCAGCTGTGGGCTGGATGGAGCCGAGCCTTCGGTGGCAATCGGGGTCAGGCACTTTATAAACACTTATTTACTTGTTGTTTGTAAGAACTTGGGGGTTTTGCAAAATGTGCTTTCACACTATGATTCAATTCTGTCTCTGTAAGATTTTCCTCATGTAAGACTCTTTTTCAATAAAACTATTCCACACATAACCAGTGTGGAATAGTAACATGAAATATAATTGTCTATAAATTATTTTGTACCGGTATGTGAATGTCGGGGATATACGTTTATGCATATTTTTCCGCTGACCAAGTGTTAAATGTCAGCCAACTGTCATCTCAGAGTACATCATCAACTGAATAATTCAAAAGGCAAACGCTTAGTGACAACCAGATAAAAGGCTGTATGATTTACAGCCGGAGGTGGTTAGAGGTGGAGATACACCAGTCGATCTGCCAGGCTGATGTATGTACGGATCTTAGTTTTTTAAAGATATCATATCCGTGTACAGAAATGCCAAACGAGGTTTGAGGTAATTTCTGTAACCATCACATATGTTATTTTATGACACTGTAAAATGTCCTGCTCAGTATGTCGGGATCTTGGTAGCCGAATGGTTACAGCGCATGCTGTGTAACTTGGATGTTGCCGGTTTGATTCCAGCTGGTGACCTTTATTGCCTCTTTTAAAATAATAAGAGCTATTGGTGAATATATCGCTATCAGATACCGATATCAGTACAATATTAGATTCTCAAATCCAATATTAGCCGGGCTCTAGTTTGAGTGTCAAAAAGCTTACTTGATTAGTGAGTTAAAAATCGGTAACTCATAAGTCAATATTTGGCAGCCATTGGCTTTGCATAAACACCACAAAGGTGACTGACCCATTACCTTGGAGAAACTGCACAACATATAATGAATTAATGATGTTTGTCTTATATAGTGAATAGAAAATAGGAGTACGTTGTTTTTTTAATTAACACATGATGGCGTTGGTTCTCTCTCTGCTGTGAGGTATGCCCTGGGTAGACATGAGATCCCCCAGGTCTTGGAAGTAAGGCCGTCATGTAGTTGCTACATTGCTCCCGGACACATTTCACTGAGGACTAACTAGCCAGCTAGCTAAACGCACACAAATAAACACCTAACTCCTGGAATGGAAACGATGTGGAAAACAGTTGAATTCAGAGTGAAAACTAATCTTAAAGTAGTTCTCTTTGTTGAAAGTCGTGAAACACAAAAGGGACATTTGTGCTGAGTTGATCTTCGTGGGAGTGTCTGGGTGTGACTTCAGAGTGTGACCGAAGGGAGAAGGCAGGGAAACTTTCTAGGTAACCTCAGTTTGTTTTGTTGCACTCTCAGGAACTGACCTGCCGGGAGGAGCTGCTCACTTTGCTGCTGTCTCTGCTACCACTGGTCTGGAAGATCCCTGTGCAGGAGGAAAAAGCCCCAGGTCAGTATTACCACAAATACTTCATGTGAAACTCGATCCCTTGTTCGTGTTAATGTTGAGTTTAACAGCACATTCCTCGTGCTGCCCAGCTGTAAAAGCATGTGACTATCTCTGTCATGGCTTGTAACTAATGACTTCAATTTACATACTTCCTTTTGTGAGTGTACACTTTGCTGCGCATGTTAGTTCTCTGTAATTTGCAAACTTACATTTTGCATACAGTAATATCTTACCGTAATATATTTCCATCTTTTACATAATTCTATGCCACTTATTAAGATTAAGCCATGTTCTGGCATTAGCTTTGGTGGGTTTATGTGAAGGCAGTGGAATGTGTGCACATTGCTTTAGACTGTAAACGGTGTCTGTGAGGTTCTAATCAAGTGACTCATTTTTTATGTATTTGACTTGCTTAACAGTGCAAACAGTGTACTGTGCTCATTTGGCGATGGATGGATTGTGGTTGATCTTTGTAGCCAATGTCTCCATTACGTTGACTCTTACAAACACAAGCAGCCAGTCACACAACAGGAGAGGAGTAGTGGTTGCAGAGGCTTGTGACCTCAGGATGACACTGGTATTTAGTAAAGGACTGCTGATCCAAGCTAACATGAACCCGAGACATTTTTACTTTAATTAATTCCTACTCACTGAGCGTGTTTTAACAAACACAGAATGGCTGTTGACATGCAGCTGAGCTTTATATTACTTTACGTTAAAGTGAAAATGGAGTCTCAATTCCTAAAAATGTGATCTTAAATGTGACACGTGTCATGAATCCTATATCACTTCAGCAGTATTCAATAACAGTATTCAAGTCTCGAGTCTTCATGAATGTCCAGAATGCAACTGACAGATTTCTTTATGTTGACAGATTTCACCCTGCCGTCCCTACTGGAGGTATTCCTCAGCCGGGAGGTGAAGGCTGCCCCTCTCAGAGCAGGACAGAAGGCTGCGACAGATGAACAGAACTCTGGGAAGCGGTCCCGTGTTGGCAGTGGCACCTGGAAGTCGCGGCGGTCACGCAGAACAGCGCAGAGATACTCCGTAAAGGATGCTCGGAAGTCCCAGGTTTCTACCTCCGATTCAGAGGCCAACCCTGAAGACAAAGCCGGCCCAGGCCCCGGTGGTGCCAGGAGCCGAAGGTCACATGGCTCCACCATCCGGGTAAACTGTCAGCATCATCGCTCAGAGGCCTCACAACAGTTAACGTCCACCGCCGCTGCCATCGCAGAAACCATGAGTGCACCATACCCACACCCCCGAGCCCCTGGGTCCCAGATGGTGGACACGGAAACCCTGACAGACCCAGCTGCAATATCAATTTTCAACCGCATGGAAAACTCGCCCTTTGATCTCTGCCATGTGTTGCTTTCCCTGCTGGAGAAGGTCTGCAAGTTTGACATGAGCATCAACCACAACCCTGGCCTGGCAGTCAGTGTCGTACCTACTCTCACTGAAATCCTGACTGAGTTTGGAGACTGCTGTGGTCCAGGAGGAGGCGTTGGAGGTGGAACGGGGGCCGAGGAGCTTGCTGGAGGCTGGACGGAAGAGCCCATTGCACTGGTCCAGAGGATGCTTCTACGCACCATCCTGCACTTGATGTCAGTGGATGTGAGTCAAAGTGAGACCCTCCCAGACAGCCTGAGACGCAGCCTGACAGACCTGCTGAGAGCCACCCTCAAAATCCGAAGCTGCTTGGACAGACAGAGTGACCCTTTTGCCCCTCGGCCGAAGAAGACCCTGCAGGAGGTCCAGGATGACTTTTCATTCTCCCGCTATCGCCACAGGGCGCTACTGCTGCCAGAGCTTCTAGAGGGAGTACTACAAGTGCTGCTGGGTTGCCTGCAGGCTTCCACACCCAACCCCTTTTTCTTTAGCCAGGCGCTGGAGCTCATCCATGAGTTTGTCCAGCACCGCGGCCTGGAGCTGTTTGAGGCCACAGTGCTGCGGCTGGAGGGACTCGGCAGGGCCAGGGATTCTGAAGTAGGAGGTGAGGCTCCAGAGAGGCTACGGGGTCTCATTGCGGGAATCTTTAAGATCATCAGTGCTGTCAAGAAGGCAAAGTCGGAGCAGCTGCATCAATCCGTGTGCGCCAGACGGCGGCACCGTCGCTGTGAATATTCCCACTTCCTGCATCACCACAGAGACCTGTCAGGTTTGCCCGTCTCTGCTTTCAAGCAGGCTGCTCGGCGCAACCCCTTTGAAGAGGATGGAGAAGGCAAGGAAGGGATGGACGGGGACGCAGTGCGTTACCCCGAGCGCTGCTGCTGCCTGGCTGCCTGCGCTCACCAATGTCTGCGGCTCTTGCAGCGATTGTCCCCCAGCGGGCCGGCTGTGTTGCAGGTACTGGCTGGGGTGCAGGCTGTTGGAATCTGCTGCTGCATGGACCCCTGCTCAGTCGTAGGACCCCTGCTGCATGCCTTCCAAGCACCAGGTCTGCGTAGTTACCAGTCCCATGTTCTCAGTGTCCTGGGCAGACTGATCCTCGACCAGCTTGGTGGGGGACAACCCTCAGAGAAAGCCAAGCTGGCCTCCTGTAACATCTGCACTCTGGACAGCAGCCAGCTGCCAGGCCTGGAGGAGACACTGCAGCTCGGGGAACCTTCAGCCGTGTCCACCAGTCTGTGCTACCGCTCCCAGGGTATTCTGCCAAGCGGTGGGGGGGAAGAGGACATGCTGTGGAAGTGGAACGCTCTGGAGGCCTATCAGGAGCTAGTGTTTGGTGAGGACTGGCAGCTGAGCCAGCAGATAGCTGGCCATGTGTGCCACCTGACCCTGCGGGGCAATGCTATAGTGCAGTGGCAGCTCTACACACACATCTTCAACCCTGTGCTGCAGAGAGGGGTAGAGCTGGCCCACCATGCCCAACAGCTGGGCGTTTCCACTGTCTGTACTCAAGTCTGCAGCTATCGCACACAGTGCCTGCCTGTGGAGGTACTACTCATTTACCTGCAAACGTTACCTGCCCTTCTCAAATCAAGGTGAGCGGTTTTACATTTTTCCTTGGTCATCTGTCTTTTCTCAGCAGGATTATGCCAAATATGTTTTGAATTTAATTTCTATTAGGTAGAAAGATCTGTAGCTGCAAGCTGTTCTTGATTTAAGTAAATGTGCAGAAGCACCAATAATGCTATATGTGTTCTGACTAATGTGTCATTACATTAATGTGATGCAGGTGGGTGTTTTTGAAAATTGTTTTGGCAATTTTCTCACTCAAGAAAAGGATACTGCTCCTTTTTATACTACCACATAAAGCAAATGTAATCAGCCAGCTCAAAGACGACACCTAATCCACTCGGGCATTGTTAGTCATTAGATCTGTCTATCCAGGTCATTGCTAATTGATGCTAATCAATAATTTATTACAGCTTTGTGTACTGAGTGACAGATGGAAGATTAGTGACTGTTTATGTAACACTGTGACGAGTGCAGTATTCTGGCTGAAACAGGTGCTTGTGGTATTTGTCCGAACACATTTAACAAAATTCTGCCAAAACAGAATTGGTATAATACTGTATTAATTTAGTTTTTTATCGGTTGAATATTGAGTTCTCAGCTTTGAGACGATCAAGAGACATGCAGGTTGTTAAACACTGAACTGCCCATATGTGTGAATGTGGTGTCCTGTCTGTGTGAGACCTGTCTCGGTTATAAATACCGGCTCGTGCCCAATGCATGCTGGGATAGGTTGAATCCCCGTGCGACCCTAAACAGGATCAGTGTGAATGGAAAATAGATGGATGGGTGCATTGAGGCGGTCTGTCAGCAGTGGGCGTATAGTTTCCATATTAAAATTCAGAGTATGTCATTCTACTCTCTGAAGGTTTTGACTGGCATTCAAAGTCTTTACAGCTGTGATGTTTGTCATCTGAGCCGCTTCAAAAGACACTATAGAGACAATTGTACGTCCTACAGTACAGTACCTAAGTATATACACTTTTTATATTCAGATAAATCTCCATTTATTAGTAGGATATTCCTAAAAAAGACAATGTATCTGATACAAAAGCAATCCCTCTCATCACTTGTGAAGTGTGTGTAAATGTCTGTATATGCACAGACTCTGCAGCCCTCAGCCTGTATTTTCTTATTTTGCTGTGTTCAGCAAGGGCGTCAACCTCTATTAAAAAAAACGTAGCGACCATGTGCCAGATCGTAAGCATCCAAGTAGAGGCTAACAAAACGGTGGACACAGAGCCAAAAACAATTATATAGCAAGCAGACAGTGCTCGTTCTAAAACAAGAGTGAATCTGAGGCTGGCTTTGTTTACCCTCATGTTTTTTTGTTCACCCGTACTCTTTAAAACACTGACAACAGTAATCCACCCCTACAGTATGAGAGGGAATAAAACCATATTGGCTCTTAAATTGAGAGCACTTACTGTTGCTATCAAGTGTAATGTCTCTTTATTCTTTGTTGTTCTAAACAGCTCTGAGAATTCCACTTAATGCAGCTTCTAATTATCCGCTGTACAGTTTATTTAACACATTTAGATTTACTCTGTTTTATCACAATTGCACAACTTTATTGAAACTTCAGGTTGCAGCACACAAAGTGAATAATACAGCGGTTGCTCAAATGTAACGTGCAACTGGTCTTATGAATAATACAACTTTTTGTTCTTGAACATTGGCAACCAAATTGCAATATTCACAACACAGCAAGATCAATAAAAGGATGACTTGTAGAGCAATGCTTACTGAACTGCTGCTTCTGTACAGGGCAGACCGACCCATCCTCGCACATGTACGTTCAGTCACTAGGTTAGAATATACGGCTCAATCTGGTGGGACAATTACATATTTTATAACCGCTCCACCTCAGCCTTCTCCCAAAACTGTTAAATAAAAGTCAGCTGTTTAAAATGTCTCCAAACTGAAGATTCATCATAAACAAGCTGCACTTTTAGCCACATTATCTCTGGGCTCAGTAGTAGACCTTCTATGTGACATTAACCTGGCCGTAAGCACATTCTCCACACTAGCCTGAAGGAAGAACTGAACCTAACTGCCATGTTCAAATGATTGTCAGTGAGTACAAGGATAGGAGAAACTGAGTTAAATATAGACGTACACCTGCTGTGTATTCAAACATTTACAGTTTTTCTGCCCTCTGAGGCTGCCATGTGTATTTTGGTAGTTTGGGAAAATGCTCAGACAATGAGAGTTAAATTGTAAAGTGTTTGGGTGACTCACACACTTCAGTAGTGTATTGAATGGCAAAGGGTAAGATGACGATGAGAGTATTTGAAGCTACAGAAGCTACAGTGTACAGACTGATTTCAAAGCATGCTGTCGCAAGATGACCCGAAAGGTGAGAAATCTTCTCAAAGCTTCACAGCCTCTGAGATCCAACCTGCCTCTTCATCTGCTTGCACTGCTCCTGTACCATCTTTTTTGCAGATGAGAGCATTGAATATTCAGGCTAATGCAGAGTTATTCTGATGAAATTGCACACCACTAATGAAAAGAGGAAATGTTCTGAAAAACCAGAATTATTCAACTCTCCATTGATTTGGAGGAAGACTAGCGAGAGGGTTTGAATTGGAGAAAAAAAAACAGCAAAGTTATTATTTATTAAATTTACACATGTACTGAGCTCAGAGCTTTGATTGAACATCTGTTTCAGTTCCTTAACATACTCTGTAAACAATCTCATGCTGAGATGAAAGTGTTTTTATTGTTCAGTCAGCACATCTCCTCAGTGTTCTCTCTCTTACCAAATGTTGATTTAACCTTCACTCAGAGGTGACTCATTATTCTTTGAGGTAATTTACCCTCCATTGTGGGAGTGTAATTAAGTTTTTTTTTTTTTTTTGTTGTTTTTTTAATCACTGCCTCAATAGCTTGTGCTTACCAGTAGAAGACAAATATAAAAGGGTAAAATGTCAGCTTTGTTTTGCTAAATAAACGTGCGATAACTTCCACACAATGTGACGGAAATGTGTCTTTTGTGGCTCAGTATAATATACGCACAGCAACAAAACCCACATTAGATAACAAAGCAAATGCAGTGTATGAAGCTGGAACTTTACAAATACAGCAGGTTGTGTTCATAAGCAACGGAAGTGTGTACTGTCCTTCACAGTTCATCTGTCATGTTAATAGAAGTCGAGCAATATATTCAAAGGAGTTGTTGTGCCTTCGGGGAAATTATATCTGCAACCCGATGGGAGGAAATGAAATCAGTGAAGGAAGGAGTGTGACGGGTCCTGTGCAGTGGCGGTGGCTTTGCCTCTGATTGACTAGTTTGCAGAGTTTGTTAGATTAGACTAGAGTGCTGCCATTTATTTTAATTGCTGGGAGAGTTTAAAAGTGTGCAGTTCACATCCACCCTTTCTGTCACCATATGAATCCTTTCCTTGACCAGTGAGAGGCACACTGCCTGTATTTATACTGGGTTTGTGTAATGTTCATGTCCATTTTCTGCTTTACTCTGCTAAGTTTCCAATATTTTCTGTTTCAGGGTGATCAGAGACCTTTTCGTCAGTTGCAACGGGCTCAATCAGGTGACTGAGCTCGTCTACCTAGACCAGACACGCTCTTTGGCCTTGAAGGTGTTTGAGACTCTGATAATAGGCATCGGACACCAGCAGGCTGATGGGGTGCTTCAGGAGCTGGAGAGTGCCGATGCTGAAGAAAGGGAGGCCGTCTTGGGCCTGACCGAGGAGCTGGGGTCCCGAGGGGCTGGAGAGGGCCCACAGAGCCTTAGTAAGTTCTACGAAGGCCTAAAGGAGGCGTGCCCGCGTCACAAGAGCCGGAGCGGGCAGGGTCGTGGTCCAGGACGCAGCCGAGCAGAGACCCACCTCCGTGTCATCAACCTCTTCTTGTGCGTGGCCTTCCTCTGCGTCAGCAAAGAGGCCGATTCTGACCGGGACTCAGCCAACGACTCTGAGGACACTTCAGGTTACGACAGTACAGCCAGTGAACCTCTTGGCGGCCGACTGCCTTTCCTGTCCCCAGATTGTGTGGCTCTGCCCTCCAAAGAGCAGTTACGCTGCGCTGCAGATGTTTGGTCGGTGTGCCGGTGGATCTACCTGGCCAGCCCCTTGTTTCAGAGGCAGTTCTTCAGGCTCGGAGGACTGGAGGTCTGCTTGCGCCTCATGGCCATGGTCATTCAGAAACTCTCCTGTAAGACCAAGGATGGGAAAGCAAAGAAAAAGAGGGACGGTAAGGGCAAAGGCAGCCCTGACACCACAGCCCCAGCGGCCTCACTGGGACTGGAGGAGACGACTGGTGATGCAGCCGACGCCCTCGGCACTTCTCCCGCTGAGGGAAAGACCAAAGATCCAGCAAAGAGGCTGGAGGAAGAGTGGCAACTACAAAGTATTCGTCTCCTCGAGGCCCTGCTGGCGATTTGTCTGCACAGTGCCAACTCGTCCCTGCAGAGGATAGAGCCTGAGCTTTCTTATCAGGTATGTAGTTTAATATCCGACTGATCAATCAACTTAATCCCTGACCACATCAACCTCACACAACAAACTTTTATTCTGGCCTCAATTAAACTGTTTTGTCTCCTCTGGTTTATAGCTCCAGTCGGTGGAAGAGACTCTGTTCGAGGTGAGAGACCAGCTCTCTCGCTCCGGGGTGGTGAACTCTGACCTTGCTGTTCCTCTGTTCGACTCTCTCCTGAGAGTGGCCTTGGCAGAGGTGTCATCCTGTCCTGACCCTCCTGAGGAGAAGCCAGACAGGGTGAGTCCTGCCTTGGGAGAAACTGTGAGTGAAGTTACTGCACCTTTTTATGTTCTCAAGTTTTTGAAGCAAGTTGTGTACAAAGAGACAAGTTAAGGTTGTGGGCAGTCAGACCTGATTGCTCTGCAGCTACAGGAGGTGCTCTCCATGTCCAGTGTTACTCTACTCATCTGTTATCTGTCCTGCTGCACAGTCTCTCCTCAATAGAATTTGCTGTTTTTTAAAATTCTAATAAAAACTATAATTTCTTCTTATACTAACTACTCCCTCTTTGTTGCCTTCTACCCATGACGCAAAGTGCCAATGTACACTTCAGTTATCCACTTAGTGAATGTAGCTACAGTTTTATTCGCGGCTATTTGATAACGAGCTAGTGCCCCCCTGGTGGCCTCTGGGTTTGAGGTGCTGACCGTAAATCTTTGTTGCATGCCATTCCCGTCCCCACACACTGCTTCTCTGGCTGAACGCCACGGCAAAATCTAAAGAGCAGTGGTGTTTATTCTGGAGCAAACCGTACAATGAAAGGAAAATCATTTTCCAGCCGAGTCGAGCGTCGGGGCGGCCGTGTATGGCCGCTCGCGCTATGTTGCTAAGCAGCCGTTATCTGCCCGACGTGCAACAGAACAGCAGACGTACATTACGATCGCCCTCGTTTAGACCAAGCAGTGGATGCAAACATGAGCGAGCAGGGTCTCAGTTTGAAACCCAAACAGGTCCCTGATGGTGCTTTGTTTCAAAGATTCTCACTTGTTAATATAGGTTCTTACGACATAGTCGTCACGAACATATCAAAGATTAACTCTGTTGAAATATTCACACGTGTCCTTTAGTCACTGCAACTTCCGCCTTCTTAGTAGCCGCACTAGTACTGCAGGCTACATTAATGAATAGTTCTCAAGACCATGTATGGTTAGGACCAGACATGTAACCGCTTTTATTTGGTCCGGGAAGTGAGACGAATACTAAAAACAACATTCTAGAAAGATCATTATTCATTACTCTGTAAAATGACCTCCCGCCTGGTAGTCGTCGCCTCCTCTCTCACAGCCTTAGATGTGTTTTTCACAAGTCTTAAAATGCCTGTCTGACTAAGCCTGTTCCAACACTGGAGGATTTAGCGTTTTTATATAATAGTGTTACCTATTTCCTAAGAGCTTAGTTCTTTGTCAGTGAGCCCAGCAGAGCGTGATGTTCACTTAACCATAACAAGTATGTGCTATGAAGCGCCAAGATTAGTCTTTCACCGCAAAGTTTGTCCACTGAAGGACTTTTCTTCAAAATGTTCTCTTCACCCACAATTGAATATCAAAGCTGCCGAGTATTATGCAGAAAGGCATAGAGGTGTGTATTACAGTAAACCTCTTCTTTGAACTAGTAAACGGTTTAGAGTTTGACTGTTTACTTGTGTGTGTGTGTGTTTGCCTATGTGCACATATGATGACTGACTGTTCACGTTAAGGCACTGGGCTGTGTGAGTGCCCTGTAGATCAGCTGATATTCGTCTCATGACCAGAATCGTGTACTTTTTTTTTTTTTTTTTCCCCTCCTCACTTGAAAACATTTTGTTGGCTATTTATTTGCTGTATTAGTGAAAGGACCGCTGCTTGTCATGCGTAGTATGTTTTAGCATAACATTCTTAGTCTAGGACATTTTTTTTTTATAACCGCATTGGGTAAGCTCTTGCGAAATGTTGTTTTTATCTCACCAACAGCTTGGCTGGGCAATGATGTTGTTGCATTTCGATTGTGAGGGATTAGAATTCATGACTTCTTCTCGCCTCCCCTCCTCTTTCTTCCTCTTCTTCTCGCACTCTGTTTCCGCCAGAAGCTCCAGGTGGTTCCAGCAGGCGATCTGTCCGAGGAGGTGGACGAGGTGCAGAGCTGTGGCGTTAAGCCCCCGGGGGAGGAGGAGGGCTACGACGCCGACAGTGAAAGTAACCCTGAGGACATGGCCAAGCAGGACGAGGGTAGGTCCACACATGCTGCAAAACCACACACACACACACACACACACACACACACACACACACGCACTCCTCTTTAAGAATCCACAGCTACGGCACACACCTGACTGCTCCTAACGATAGTATCTAACTGGTTAAACGCTACTTGGGTTGTTTGCTTTACGTGCAAGTCTTCCCCTGCAGATTCTTTTCACTCTTTTTACTTCCCCGGGATTATTTAAGGAACGCTTTAAATCTCTTTCTCAATGTACTCCGTCTTCTGCAACATTTGTTTTTGTTTGTGATAAATGTCAACAGACTAATCTTGATGGATGGAGAGGTCTCAACCTCTAAATCTGCTGATTTCCGTCCCTGGGAAATCTTGCTTCTCCCACTGTTGAATTGATCACTCAATGCATTTGTTGAATTATTATTCATTAATGCATTTCCTTGCATTTACTCGAAGGATTTTGTGTTGAACAGCATCATGGTTTCTTAAGAAATGTGCAGTGCAAAACACACATCCTCATTTGGTTTGCCGTGGAGGATGTTTCGCAATAACAAGTGGCTAGTTTCTATTTCGCACATATGACAGAGCAGAAACGGGCCCGAGCACTTTATTCCCTTCACAACAGCCTCTTGTGTTCGCTCTGTCTCTCCACTCTGGTCTCACCGGTTAAGAACGTGGCCTCATTACAGCCTTTTTTCCTTCTTCATCCCCTCAGAATACAATCATTGTTTTACGTTTTACAACTGCAGGCAGCTACACTCTGTGGCCTCATGAGCTGGATCTTGTGACTTTAAGTCGCCATCAAATGGAGACTTTAACTTCCTGGAAATCTTATTCGTCCTGGAAAACAGTGGATCCTAAAGGGAGAATTACCCGCCTTTTTATCTGGATGTTTAATCAGTGCTGATGGGGAATGTAGTCCACTGAAGAAAAACCTCTAGATTTTGCCTACCAGGATGCATTGTGCGTGAGCTGCGAGTTCGCTGCGTCTGATAAATAAACAAAATGAATTCACAAAATTTCAATTAAGGAGATACAACATACAACCGTGCACCTTCTCAATTCAAGTTTCTCTCTTACACCGAACACAGACGGGCTTAATTGCCTTGTTAACCCATCATAAAACACACTTCATTCAAACTGAACAGAAACAAAGATACCTCCTCAAATGTATCAAATACATGTGACAAATACTTGAATTAATCCCAACCCAGGCAGTAATAGTCTGTTCTTCCTCTCATATCAAACAGCCTATCTCTCTATGTCATTGAACAGTATGTAAATTAAATATAATCTATTTAAAATGCCTTTTTCTTTAAGTTTTTTGTTTTTCAAAAACATTGGTTGCCAGTGTGTGGTTTATTAGTAGTGCTTTTGAATTTTTTTTTTTTTGTATTAAATATTTCTGGGGGGTTTTGCTTGATTAACAGGTGTCTTAATCTATCACAGACAACTGTGAAAATTACAATTAAATGCAAACTGGTGGTTTGCTGCAATTAAATTCAACCTCGGACCAAACACATTTTTTCACAAAATGATATTAAGGGATACCAGGATGGCAGTCTGTGTGTGACACATATATACTGTATATATAAGTATACAGCAGTATACCTTGTATCTGGATGTGTGAGTGTTCCATGGAGGCAGACTGTGTAGCTGTGCAGAGGGAGAGAGCTTCATTAATATAAGGAGGTCCCAGCAGCTGTGTGAGAGCCTGCAGGGCTGCTCTCCTGTAAATCATGAGGGGGACTCCTCTGCTGCTCTGAGGCTGCTGAGCACAGGACTAAGGCTAATTCATTTTCATGTGCTGCCTTCAAGATGCGAGGATGAAGCTGAAGCAAGGTATGCCTGTGGATTGTGAAGATGTTTAAGCAACATGGCAGGCCAGTCAGCTTGACGATTACCGTCTCTCTGTGTGCTCGTCTCTTGTTGTGTCTCTGATCTTGCCCTGGTGTGTGTGTGTTGGTCCTCTTAGGTGTGAAGGTGGAGTCTGCTGTGCTGCATGAGTTTGTGGCGGTGGGGGACGGGCCCAGGGGTGGCGTGCTGCTCTTCCCGGAGATCTGCACGATGGAGCTGAAGTTGCTGGCCACTGGCTCCCCAGACCTGGAGGTTCTGAGCCATGTGTTTCACAGCCTGCTGGGTGCGGTACGCGCAAACCACCGCAATGCTGCCCTGCTCTACGACCAGGTCAGACTGACCGCTCCTTCTTCTTGGTACTACTCTTGTTTGTCTCGCTTTTCTCCTCAACTGAGGAATATGACCGACACCTTGTTCTGTTCCTCACAGGGAGGAGTCAAAACCATCCTGTCTGGCTTTCACAACATCCTCAGCCAAACAGACCCCTCCTTTACAGGTTTGTTATTTATTCTGGCTTATTTTTATCTTGTATGACAGTGTAGGATATTATTCACGTGTGACATCTAAGGGAAAAAAACTGTGTCCACTCAGTTTGCTGTTTTTTCCCGTTTTTTTCCCTGCTGTTGACATTGCGACTGGGTCCTCAGGGTTCAAATGTCATATTCAATCTGAATAATTTGAGTAATTCTTGGGGAAATCGGTACCCATTGGATTGATTTCATATAGAGAATTTATGTTTATCTCATTTGGTGTTGTAAGATATTGTCACGTGTCCTTTTTGTTTTATTTGTTTTGCTGAGAGCAAAGAAGGCAGTGATGCTGTTTTGCTTTTTTTGCCTGTGGTCTTCTGGTGCATGCCCAAGTGAATGAAAACTGTTTACGTAATCTGCTCTTCATTGGTCTACATTCAGATTGCCAGACTGTGCTAGTGGAGCTGCTGGTTGCCATGGTGAGCCAGCGAATCACAGCGGAGGAACTGGCTCTGTTGATTCGCCTCTTCCTGGAGAAGACCCCACCTACTGTAAATAACTCCGTCAGTCACTCAGCAATGTACTGTTGGCTTACGTTCAGGGTGTTGACACTGATGGCTTATGATCACGCTGTCTGCCCATTCAATTTTTCAGAACTCATTTTTACAACACCCTTCCTGTCACGCTCTCTTCTTCTCACTTCCTGGTTCTTTAAGACTCATCAACACATAATGCTCCCTTGGGCCAAACTTCATTCTATATACGATAAACACCAACGTGTGCAGAACAGATGTGATGCTACAATTTATTACCACGTAGCGGCCGGTGTTTGATTGGAATCCGGCAGCAGACATCAATAATAACCTGTCTTTGAGAAGTAGGTTCCCAAAAGGGAAGACGGGGGTTTATTTTTAACCATGTGAACAAAATGACGTGTGACCTTTGTTTTCCGTCTATGAAAATGAGACATATCAGTGACTACAGTTGCCACTTATGATTGCCACTTTTTACTTGCTACTTTTTTTGTACTGCTTCACAGGATGTTCTATTTTAAAAAGTATGTTTTGCTGCATTTGATCAAGACTCTCAGGGTGACCACAGCCTTAATGCTGAGCTGTTTTAGATTGATCCCACTGTTATAACAAATATACTACTTAGTAATGTGTGTATCCGTTTGTTTCTTAATTTGCTTCACTTTTTTTAGGGATTAAAAAAAAAGAGTTGGCACAAATTGATCTAGTGTTTTCATTATCAAATCTAAAATGATAGACTGTCCTTCTCACTCCCCGTTTACTTTGTTACCTGCAGGAGATTTTACTGAAAGGCATCCTACAAATCGTTGAAGCCAACGTGAATATAGAACCTCTTCACTTCCTGTCCTTTCCTATAATGCTTGGGGCTTCGACCCCAGGAGGGGTGTCCACTGGCTCCAGACCAAACGGGGCTGCCGGAGGGAAAAGTGTTGGTTTGCTCTGGAAGGGCAAACTGTCCCCTGGGCGCAGGGAGGGTGATGCCGAGTACAGACCAAGCCACCTCCGTTCCTCTCCCTGGCACATTGCTCCCCTCCACTTGCCCCTCGTAGGGCAGAATTGCTGGCCCCACATGGCTAGCGGCTTCAGTGCCTCTATGTGGCTCAGAGTGGCAGAGCATGAGGAGAAGGATGGGGAGAAAGACAAGGGTGAGACACAGATCCTTCACCTAAACGTTTTTTATGCCTGAAGTCCATCAATAAATGAACTTATTTTGAGATTGTTTTATCATTGTTTTCCAGAGGAGAGTAACGTTCCTGCAGCTGAGTCCCACCATGGCTCCTCTCAGGCTGGGGCGAGATTACTAGAGGAAGGTCTCATTCATATCCTGTCAATGGGCTCCAAGGCACTGATGCTTCAAGTGTGGGCAGACTTCTCCACAGGCTCCCTCACATTCAGGTGAGCTCCAGCATAGACTACAGTCCCGAAGATGTGTGTGACGAATGGGCTGCTATTTCTCAAGTATTCATAGTTTATGGACCTTGAAGTACTGTAATGTGCTGTTCCCCCAGGATTTGTATAGACCCAAACGATGAGATAAAAGCAGGGCTGCTGGCGCAGGCCGACTCTGGTGAGGAACTACTGAGAGCGGGGCAATGGCAGCACCTCGGCCTCACTTACACCCAGCAGCCAGAGGGCAAGAAGAACATCCATGGCCGTGTGGTTGTCTGGGTGTGCGGCATCAGGTGAGGATCGTGTAACAGCAAGAGTAAGACTGTGGCAGTTTAGTTTAAAGTCTGGTGAATTAGTGAACATTAATCTTAACTTGTCATGCTCTCTGTTTCAGGAAATGCGAGGTGTCTTTGGACTACACCCTTCCAAAAAAGTCCAGTTTATCATCTGACAGCAACAAAACCTTCTGCATGTTGGGCCACTGTACGCCGTCCTCTGAGGATCCGTTGATGCAGAGTAGACGCTGGAGCATGGGCACCGTGCTTCTCTTCAACGGTAGGACCTCCTGTCTTCTTTATCTAACTGGAATCACGTGTCTATAAGCTCTTACACACTTAATGCCAGAACGGTCGCTCATCATATTTCTACATTCTTATGTGCAATCTGTCGTAATCATTTTGATCTGTTCCACCTCAGTGCTGCTCCCTGGTGGTGCATTACACTGATTACCAACATCTCTCTAATAAGCAGTATGTACTGTACATAAATGTACGGTAATGTTTTGTGGTGCAGTTATAATTTTAAAGCGTAACCGGTCTAGTGGCTGTAAAAGGCTGTTGCTGGTATGATGTGTTGCGTGCTGTAGATTCTCAGCATTCTCACGGGAGGCTAACTGAATACTTCTCTTGTTGCCTCTAATTGGCTGTGAACGGTTTGCCTCTCTGCGATCTCAGCCTGTGAACCTAACTGATGGCTTTGCACCAGCTTAGCCTCTGCTGTCGTAGGTAGCAGTTTCTTCTTGGAAGAGAAGGATCGTGAGATTCATCAAAGTTTCATGAAAACAAGAAATAAAACATCAAGGTGTACCATGGCTTCTCGCTTTGCGTCACGTCATATTTTATTACTGCTTTGGTTATTGATGGAATGATATGAATCATTTACTCGTGGGGTTGATTTTCCATGTTGGATTTTCCACAATTATGTTTTCGAGCTTCCGTAACAACAGATTTCCTGTTTTCCTCATTAGGAGATTACTTGTAATTGTAACTCTTCCTCCCCCCCCACCACCCCCCCCCCACCCCCCCCCCTCGGCTCCGCCACACCCGCTACC